TACAGTAGAGCCTCTGAGATGGCTCACAGAGGGGTCTGCGGATTTCGTCTTCTGTGAAGATCCTCTTCCAACTATTTTTCAAAGGTTGTTAGCTAAATGTGCTTCTCAAGTGACTAGGAATTAATCGACTTTATTTGGATGGCTTAGATGATTTCACGCGTCAAGATCTTGTCAGTAAGGTCGTTAGGATCTTGTATAAATAGCGGCTAAGGCCTTTGTATTCAGTGTGCTTCCGTATTGCAATCGTCTAATTTTTCAATTGAAAAACCTTTGAAGCAATTCTTTTGCATTCATCTTCTTCCTCATCTTGACTGTGTGTTCTTGGTTTATTTACTCTGTTCTGTTCTTAATGTTGTTTTCGTTGCACTTTAATCGTCTTAGAGTTCATTCAGAGTATTAGATCAATATCAAAGCTGAATTTCAGGTCCAACAGTATATGACTTTGTTCCGTCATTGGATGAAATAGTTTTTAGATTTTGGTTAAAACTATGAACGAGGTTCACTCTGACAGTTATGCCTGCAGCCTGTCATTGGATGAAATAGTTCATAAGATTTTCAGGGGAAATAAGGATGGTCATTGAGTGCGATGGATAACTGTTGCTATAAAGGGGAAATTATGGATGTAATAAGGATGGTCGTTGTGTGTGCATGGTATAACTATTGCTATTATATCTTTTAAGATTACAACAGATTGGAATTCTCACTTCTTGGTGATTTGAGGATTCAGAGATGTTGTTCTTATTAGAATAATAGTATTGATGTTATGGTTACGAGAAAATATGGCCTATGGTCATTGATTTGATTAAAAGTGTTTTGAAACAGAATATGATTTTTAGCATTTACTACATGGAATGAATTATTTGAAATTAATGTTTTGGTGATCCTCACCCTGCATGTAATGATAATAATGGAAAGAGCATTATGTGAATTACTTCCCTATGTGCTTAGCTGTGTGAAGATCTTAATTAGCTATGTTTTTGGAACATAGATGCTAGGATACAAGAGCATGTACTTTTTGAATTTTTGAGTTATGTATTTCATGTTATAGACTCTTGTATTGTGGACCTTTGTGGGGAAAACATGTATTCTATGTATGAAATATGTGTTATATGCAATGTATGGATTTGGGGTTGTTACAGAAGTTGGTATTAGAGCCTGAGTTTAAGGGATTTAGGTATTCACATGCGTGATGCCTACACTTAAACTATTTCATTGCATGCTAACAGTCCCAGACATAGTTAGCACCTTTGGAATAAATATGATAAGTTAAGAGATCAGTGTGTAAGGTATTTTCGGATTACATCTGGCCAATGTAATTTTGAATCTATAGGTGCATAACTGAACTTGAACACTTTATTATATTTTGGGAATATGAAAATATATTTATTAACTTTTATATCCATAGATGGCAAGTAGATCTAGAAGGTCAGAAAGGATCACCCGCCCCAACCCCACTAATGAAGAAGAGGATTCTCATATTCTTACTCCTATTGGCACATCTGAGGGCAGAGGCAGAGGCCAAAATAGAGGACAGACCAGAGGCAGAGCCAACCAAGTAGATGTTCATACCAATCAAGAAGAATCAAATTCTGAAAATATGAATAAAAAACAGGTACCACAACCAGAATATGTGACAAGAGATATGCTGACAGAGGAAATGGGAAAGTTAAGGGAAAGCTTAACATCGATCATGAGGATACCTGCGAGGGTGGAAACAGAGCGGGTGGAGATTAACCCTCATGTACTAACTACAAACACCAGAGGAGGAGACATCAAAATGTTCCTTGCATGCAAACCGCCAAACTTTGCTGGTGAGCTAGATCCGACCAAAGCTATGCATTGGATAAAGGAAATTGAGTCAGTATTCAACACTATTCCTTGTCCAGAAGCCGATAAGGTCAGATTTGCTGTATCAGTACTAAAATCCAATGCTTTATTCTGGTGGGAAGTAGAATCCCTGGCTAGAACAGATGTTTTGCAAACCTTATATTGGGCAGAATTTGTGAATATATTCAAAGAGCAGTTCTGTCCCAAAACAGCAGTCAGACAGATGGAAGAGGACTTTTTAAAGTTGGAACAAAACTTTGGGTCAGTCAGAGAATATACAGAGAAATTTATAGAGTATTCTAGATTCGCTGAACATTACATCAAAACGGAGGCTAGAAAAGTGGAGCGGTATATCTGGGGTCTAAAGCCCTCAATCAGAGAATTTGTTATCGCAATGAATCCTGCCACTTTTCCATTGGTAGTAGATGCAGCAGAGATCACAGAAAGAAACAAGAATTGAAGCGAAGAAGGAAAGCAAGTCGAGAAAAGGAAATGGGAGGGGTCCTCTGCAAGTTATCGGGGATCAAAAATTGTCAAATATAATAATAGATCAATGCAAAGACCAATGGAGAGGGCTTGTCCCTGGTGTGGACAGTATCACCATGGAGAATGCAGAGCAGAGCCAATAAAATGTTTTAATTATGGTGAAATTGGGCATACTTCAATTTCCTGTCGGCTAAACAGAAAATGTTTTCATTGCAATTCACCAGACCATTTCAAAAACAATTGCCCACAGTTGAAAGCTCCACAGCTTACCATGGGGAGCAATACATCGATTGGCCGTGGAAGACCGAGTATGAGCATAGGAGGCTCGGGTGGGGCGCGGGGTCGATCTTTTCAAATGACCAAACACGAAACAGAAACTACACCCGATGTAGTAACAGGTACTTTTCTCGTGAACTCATTACATGCTAAAGTGTTATTTGACTCGGCATCATTTGCCTTATATGCTCGTTCGAATTCTGTATCCCTTGATGAAAAGTTAGTAGTTGATACTGCTAACGGTCAAGTATCTATGAATTATGTGTTTAAAAACTGCACTATCATGATTGAGGGTTGCAAGCTACCCATCAGATTGTTTTCCATGCCTATAAAAGATTTCGATGTAGTAGTGGGAATGGATTGGTTGGCCGAGAATCAGGCCAGCATTGTTTGTGATAAGAAGATGATTAGAATAGTATTGCCAGACAGAGGAACAATTGTTATTTTTGGTGATCATCAAGGTCATCGCACCAGTCTATTATCAGTTATGAAAGCCAGAAAATATATCCAAAAGAAATTCCAAGGATCTTTAGCCTACGTAATCGATGCCAAGAAAGAAAAGAGTAAGCAAGAATTAATTTCGGCTGTTAATGATTATCCTGAAATCATTCCAAAAGACTTGTCAGGATTACCTCCAAATAGAGTTATAGAATTTGGGATTGATTTAATACACCTCCAGCACCTGTAGCAAAAGCACCGTACAGATTAGCTCCGTCAGAATTAAAAGAACTGGTTACACAATTGAAGGATTTGTCCGACAAGGGATTTATCAGGCCGAGTACTTCACCATGAGGAGCTCCAGTTTTGTTTGTGAAAAAGAAAGATGGATTGATGATTTGTTTAATCAATTGGTGGGAGTCAGTTATTTCTCCAAAATTGACTCACGATCAGGTTACCATCAGTTGAAAGTTAAAGAAGATGATATTGCAAACGGATTTCCGAACCAGGTACGGGAACCATGAATTCCTAGTTATGCAATTCGGTTTGACTAACGCACCTGCAGCTTTCATGGATTTACTGAATCGAGTATGTAGAGAATACCTCGATATATTTGTCATTGTATTTATCGATAATATTCTCATATACTCTAAAACCAAAGAAGAACATGCAAAGCATCTTCGATTAATCCTTGAACTTTTGAAAAGAGAGAAGTTGTATGCTAAAATATCAAAGTGTGAATTTTGGTTAAGAGAAGTCCAATTTATGGGGCATGTCATATCCAAGGCTGGAGTAAAAGTAGATCCAGCAAAGATTGAAGCCGTTGCAAAATGGGAGGCACCAAAAACACCATCTGAAGTTCGAAGTTTCTTGGGATTGGCAGGCTATTACCGCAAGTTTATCCAAGATTTCTCTAAAATAGYCGTGCCTTTGACAAAATTAACTTGAAAGAATATCAAATTTCAGTGGGAAGAAGAAAAACATAAAGCCTTTCAATTATTAAAAGACCATATTTGTAGTGCTTCGATACTATCCCTACCCGATGGAATTGAAGATTTTGTGGTATACAGTGATGCCTCAAAGTTAGTTTTGCGCTGTGTCTTGATGCAAAGAGGAAAAGTAATATCATATGCATCTCGGCAACTTAAAGATCATGAAAAACAGTATCCGAGTCATGATATGGAATTGGCAGCCGTGGTCTTCGCATTGAAAATATGGAGACATTATCTCTTGGGAACAAAGTGCCAAATCTATACTGATCATAAAAGTCTGCAACACTTGTTCAACCAGAAAAATTAAATATGAGACAACGTCGATGGATCGATCTTGTTAATGATTATGACTCTGAAATACTCTACCATCCGGGAAAAGCCAATGTGGTAGCCGACGCCTTGAGCCGAAAAGAAAGAAGTGGAACTATCAAATGGATAGCAATGAGAATTAATCTAACTACTGATATTCATCAAGAAATTTTCAACCATCAGAAAGAGGCCAATAAGGAAGAACATGTGAAGGCAGAAAAAGTGGGAAGGATGATTTCCATCTTAGAACCGAATACCGTAGGAATCTTATGTTTTCAAGGTCGAATATGGGTACCAGTTTTTGGAAATACATGAGAAACCGTCCTGAATGAAAGCCACAAGTCTCGTTATTCAATCCATCCAGGTACCAACAAGATGTATAAAGATTTGAAGGTATTTTATTGGTGGCCAGGTCTCAAGAAAGACATAGCAAGACATGTGGAGCGATGCTTAACTTGCTTACAAGTTAAAATTGAACATCAGAGACCCTATGGAAACCTACAATCATTGGAAATACCAGTCTGGAAATGGGATCACATTACAATGGACTTTATCATGAAGTTACCCCGAACTCCGAAAGGTTATGATGCAATCTGGGTAATAGTGGATCGATTATCAAAAACCGCTCATTTCCTACCGTATATCAAGAAAATTGTTCTTTGGAAAAATTGGCTCAAATGTATATCAAGAAAATTGTGACTAGACATGGAGTTCCACTGTCCATTATATCTGACCGAGACAGTCGTTTCACTTCAAAATTCTGGGAAAGCCTGCAAAAAGCCTTGGGATCACAGATCAGATTAAGTACGACTTACCACCCACAAACGGACAGGCAAAGTGAAAGAACCATCCAGACTCTCGAAGACATGTTGAGAACTTGTGTCATCGACTTCGGGGGATCATGGAAGGAACATTTGCCGTTGATAGAGTTTGCCTACAATAATAGTTATCATTCCAGCATCCAAGTGGCACCTTATGAAGTCTTGTATGGAAGAAAATGTCGAACGCCGTTATGTTCGAATGAGGTAGGTGAAAAGCAGTTGACAGGTCCCGAAATTGTGCAGACAACTTCTGAAAAGATTGAACAAATTCGTACAAGGATTAAGACTGCCCAAGATCGACAGGAAATTTATGCCGATAAACGAAGAAAGCCGATTGAATTCAATGTAGGAGACTTTGTGATGTTAAAAGTATCTCCATGGAAGGGTGTTA